GTAGGGAAATTATGCAGCTATAAGCGAAAAGATTGAAGTAGCATATTAAACAGAAATGGGCTTCCCAGGAGGCTCAGTGATAAAGAGTCCACCTGTGGAGCAGGAAACATAGGTTTGATCCCTGGGTCGGGAAGATCCCCTGGAGAAGGAAATGGCAACCCACTCAGTATTCTTGCCTGGAAAATCAAATGGAGAGAGGCGCCTGGTGGGTTACAGTCCATGGGGTCACAAAAGTTAGACATGACTAAGCAACTAAACAAGAACAATGTTAAATAGAAGCTACTCTTTCTAGGAGTCTTCACTGCAGGAGATGAGAATGTATCTATATATTGCAGAAAACAACAATTACACTTCCCACCAGTATGTGAAACACTGGTTATATTCATGAAAAATATCCACAATGTCACTGCTGGCAGGAATGTAAATCGGTGCAGCCATTAAGAGGAACTGTATGGAGGGTCCGTAAAGAAACTAAAGTGAACAGAGGAATCCAACAATCCCACTCCTGGGCATATACCCAGAAAAGACAAAAACTCTAATTTGAAGACAAATGCACCCCAAAGTTCACAGCAGCATGATTCACAATAACCAAGACATGGAAATAATTTAAATGTCCATGGATAGATAAATGAATAAAGAAGATGTGGTATATATAGACAATGGAATATTACCAAGCCATAAAAAAGACTGAAATAACGCCATTTGCAGCAACATAGATGACCCTAGAGATTATCAGTCTAAGCGAAATAAGCCAGAGAAAGACAAGTATCTTAAGACAACTCTTATATGGGGAATCTAAAAAAGTGACATGCACCTCCCTAGTGCTCCAGCGATTAAGAATCCACCTGCCAATGCAGGGAACATGGGCTCAATCCCTGGTCCAGGAAGATTCTACACTCCTCAGAGCAACTAAGCCCATGTACCACAACTACTGAGCCAGTGCTCTAGAGCCTGTACTTCATAACAAAAGAAGCCACTACAATGAGAAGGCTGGGCACAGCAATGAAGACCGAGTGCAGCCAAAAATTAATGAATTCAAATAAATAAAAAGTGATACAAATGAACTTACTGACAAAACAGAAATAGACTCACAGACATAAAACAAATTATGATCACCAAAGGGGAAAGCGGGGGCTAAAAACTGGATAAACAGATGCACACTACTACATATGAAACAGATAACAAGGACCTACTATATAGCACTTTCCCCTGATGGTGGGAAAGACTGAAGGCAGGAGAAGGGGACGACAGAGGACAAGACGGTTGGCTGGCATCACCAACTTGATGGACATGAGTTTGAGCAAGCTCCACGAGTTGGTGATGGACAGGGAAGCCTGGCGTGCTACAATCCACAGGGTCGCAGAGAGTCGGACACGACTGAGCGACTAAACTAAACTGAACTGTAAAGCACAAGGAACTATATTCAATATCTTGTAATAATCTAAAACAGGAAAGAATCTGAAAAACATCCAAAATACGTATGCGTATATATACATATAAAACTGAATCACTCTGCTGTAACCTGAAACACTGTAAGTCAACTGCACTTCAATCAAAAAAAATCAACAAAGGGCAGCTAAATACAATGCAAGCATTTAGTATATTTAACTGATTTTTAAAAAGAATTTCAGCAGGCTATGGAAAAGAGTTTAAAGGTATTTAGGATTCTAATTACTTTGCTATTACTTTGAGCAGAATTTGTACTTTAACAAACCAGCTTTCATCTGCTAGATGACAGACATGCAAGCTCAATAATCCTACAATTCAGTACCTTCTGTGATCAATCAAGAAAATCAGTTCTAACATCATACTATCATACTTAGTCATAGTCACCTCTCACTTCTTTCAAAGGGAATCATCCCTCAAAAACAAAGTTTCAACTGTTTTCAGGTATATTTCAATGTAATGGAACCCTTAAATGGCAATATTTTAAAGGCAATGGCCATAAGATAAACCTTTTATATAGCTGTATGAAGATCAAATCTGAAAAACATCCTAAACATTCAAAGCTACAATAGATCTCACACTAAAAACCGTTTCCAAAAGGGTTAAAATATAATTACTATCAACAAACAATATGATGCTGTTGCAACAATAGTAAAGTAATTAAATAAACTTAAGAATGAAAAACTGGGTGCAGCTTTTAGGAACATTTTGGGGGGGCTGATTTTTAATAAATGACAGTAATATTACAATATTGTAAATTCAGAATACAAATGCAGTTGTCAGAGAATTATACAAACAGTGGAAATCTTACTCTTTTTTTTTAACCTCCGTTTTTGCCCTAATTGTAGATAAGAAGCCTAGAGTCCAGTGGAATTAAGGAAGCTTATTCAACAGGCATGTATTTTATTAATGTGTTATACTATTTTGAGCACAGAATTGAGTGTGTTCTAATTGAATGTATACAATTCTCATGTTCGGTTAAAAGCTGAGCTATTAACAATATTTGCCAAGTACCCAGTTTAAAACAGCCTATCTATTAAATGCTGAAAGTATCAGTGTTTACATTAGCTTTATTTTACTGTGGCTTAAATCACAGTAAAATAAAGTCAATCACACTATGACAGTCAACTGATAATCACATTATCACAGTCAACTCAATTACATTATGTTTTTAGAAGAAACAAAAAAAATCAGCTAATAAGTTAAAGCAAAAAGTAGAAATACAGTCCTTGAATAACAAATGACACTACATGTTGTCATGTAGGATATGAGGAAGTTACTATGAAAAATCATAGTACTATTTTTCATCACAGGTCATCAAGTAATGTTTTAATTACTATCAGCAATTATCTATGTGAAATAAGTGTAAAACTCTAAGCTCTGCTTTAACAACATCTTAGCCACTTGGAAGTCACTACTTGCTCTAGGTATCAAATGCCAACAAATTGGTACTGTTGCTTTCAGAAATCAAAACACCTGCAAAAGTGTAAACACTTTGTATCAAACTAAGCTTCCTAAAAGCAGAAGGAAAAAGAGAGAGACAGCCTAATGGCTGTAGAAATCATAATCAGTTGCAGCCAGGTTGGGTTCTGTACCTGGACGATAAAGGGAGGTGGGCAATTTATATGTTCAAAATTCAAGATCCCAAAGGTGGAGAGGGGGTAGAAAAAGAAGATACAATTCAATAAACAAGGATGACGACAAGGCTGGATGAGAGGCAGTCTAAAATTTCTTATTGTCGAGAATCAACTAAAGCCCTGACTCCAAGATAAAACGGCTTCTAATAGTTTGAAGAAGGCCAGGAAGAAGCATTCCTTTGCACCCACAAGAACCAATCCCCAGACCACTGGCATGCTATTACATGATTTACGGGCATTTGGCTCGGATGATGGGCAAAGGAGAGCAAAGAAGAGTCCGATAGAAGCCTAGGATTTATAGACGCCTAGGATTTGAGAGGCCTGAGGAGGCGCAACCTAGGCTCTGGGAAGGAAAGGTGGACAGGGGCGAGCACTCCTCACCGTGATTATCTTTCTGCCCGATATTGTGCGTGCGGATGAGAGAGGACAGTCTCCTCACATCCCCCTTGAAGACGCACTCGTGCACCGGGTAGTGTGCAGGGCAATTGCCTCCACCTGCGACGACAGCAATGGGGTTGGTGCCCGCTAAAAGAGCCGGGGACTGGGAGATGGGAGTCGCGGATGAATTGTGCAGCGGCAGGGCCGGGGCGCCGGGGGGATTGGAGGAGGCCGGAGCTGTCTTCAGCTGTAGCCGGTGGTGATGGTTACTGAAGATCTTATGACAGGCTCTACCGCTCTTGCTGCTGCCGCCTGTGCCAATCCTGCCTCCGGTAAAGGTGCCGCCGAGGGCAGCCGCCGCTTCCTCATCCCCAGGCTCCAGCAGGTCCCCCTCTTCTTTGCTGGGCTTGTGGTCCCTCCGCAATGAGCGGATCTTCTCCCCGGTCATCGCCGCCACGGGCAGAGAAGGAATCCAGGAGGCTCACCGCTGGCGACGAAACTGGCGCTGCGGCGGCACAAGGCGATTAGAGCGGTGGCCAGGATACTCCAGCGCAGCATGAACTCCCAGAGCGCCCCCGAGCCCGGGACAAACGCATCTCCCGGAGGAAGAAGAGCCGGCTCTCGCCTAGGCACGAAGGGACGCGCGCTCGCTGGGGGGAGCTACAGCTCAAGTGCCCACGACACTAGGATTCCCGTCCCCACCGCCGCAGCCGCCGCCACTGCCTTACTCCGAAAAACAGGGCACGGCCATCTTCCCCTGGCTTCTCTCGCGAGAACTCCCCCGGGAGGCAGGAGGGAGGAAACACCGCGATAAGTGAGCGGCCTGCTCCCGCCCTCGCACGTTCTATTCCCAGAGTTGCGGAACGCCGGGGCCTACCAGGCAGTGGGTTTGGGCCCCCAGCCGGAGTCTCTGAACCAAAAGAGGAGATCCAGCACTCCGGATGGCTGCGCTTCTTGTGGGAAGTCTGCAACCTGAGCCTGTGTTTGAGATATTCGATGCACCTTATAAACAGTGACTTAAACCCTGCGACCTCCGGGCTTCCCGGAGATGAGTGCAGACTGACACCCAGGCACACAGGATGTGATGTCACTGAAATGCACAGGACACTCATTCAATAAGCATTTGTTAAGCATCTACTTCGTGCCATACATTGTGTTAGTGTGTGTATGTGTCATTAAAGGAGGAAAAATAGTCAAGCACTTGAGCACAAGATATAACTTTGAATGAAGTGGATAAAAAGAGTTAGGATGAACGGGGAAAAAAAAGGAGAGGCAAATTGTATTGCTGAAGTGTCAAATCACCACAAAAGTTTAGAAAGTGACCTTGGAAAACAGGCTATTCAGCAGAGAGGGTAGGTTGCTCAAATATTTGTTGGATGAATGACTTTCGGGCAAGCGTCAGAGTTAAAGCATGAGGAGTGCACCTTGAAGGATGGCAAACAATACTAGTGTAATTAAAATATCACTGGACTAGAAAGCGGGGCGTTCGGCTTGTGAGCGGGAACTTCTTGGTCGCGCACAGAGAAAGGACGATTTAAAAATGGGTGATGTTGAGAAGGGCAAGAAGATTTTTGTCCAGAAGTGTGCCCAGTGCCATACTGTGGAAAAGGGAGGCAAGCACAAGACTGGGCCAAACCTCCATGGTCTGTTTGGACGAAAGACGGGTCAGGCTGCTGGATTCTCTTACACAGATGCCAACAGGAACAAAGGTATCACCTGGGGAGAGGAGACGCTGATGGAGTACTTGGAGAATCCCAAGAAGTACATCCCTGGAACAAAGATGATCTTTGCTGGCATTAAGAAGAAGGGAGAGAGGGAGGACTTGATAGCTTATCTCAAAAAAGCTACCAATGAGTAATAGTTGGCCACTGCCTTATTTATTATGAAACAGAAGTGTCTCATGACTTTTTATGTGTACCATATTTAAATTGATCTCATACACTAGACTTCAGATCATGAACGGCTGATGGAATAATTCTGTTGGACAGTCCTGATTTAAATAAGATTGGTTTGTGGCTAAATGAATATGGTCAGCTTTTTTAATTTTGATAGTAATTCCAGTTCAACAAGTACTATCACTTTTCCCATTCTAAAGAGATGATTGAACTTGAATAAGGAATATTAAACTTTTTAGGGAGATGGTGCATTCCTTCTCAAACCCTATAAGAGATTGGTTTTATATTTAGATTTCTATAACTGGTTATATTAATATATTTAAATACTGAAAAAGGTCCCTTCACTGTCTCATAGAACAGATGAGGATTGACATGTGTTTGAAGTTGTGTTCATTAGCCTGTTAAGGCAAGGATTGAAAATACACTGACAAATTCCACTGTATCTTTTTGATTTTATAAACTATGCCAATTTAATTAAAATTCTCTATCTAAAAAAATAAAATAAAATAAATAAAATATCACTGGACTAATTCATGGCCAACCTTGACCTAGTGTCAAATTCTAAAGGACATAAATCTGACTTTGACAAAATAACTAAAGCTGTGGGGAACTGGAGGGGAGAGGAATTAGCAATGTCCTAAAGATCTTACTTTATCTCTCCAAGGCCCCATTTACCCTGACAGTTGCTTCTCTCAAATGACTTCTTTCTTAAACCAACTTTTTCACTACCTCCATAACATTCCCAACCCCTGCCAAAAATAACTCCCACATAATACATTATGTAAAACACAAGAATCAAAATAACATCCATCTAGTAAAGGCTACGGTTTTTCCAGTAGTCATGTATGGATGTGAAAGTTGGACTATAAAGAAAGCTGAGCACCAAAGAATTGATGCTTTTGAACTGTGATGTTGGAGAAGACTCTTGAGAGTACCTTGACTGAAGGGAGATCCAACCAGTCCATCCTAAAGGAAATCAGTCCTGAATATTCATTGGAAGGACTGATGTTGAAGCTGAAACTCCAACACTTTGGCCACCTGATTCAAAGAACTTACTCATCTGAAAAGACCCTGATGCTGGGAAAGATTGAAGGCAGGAGAAGAAGAGACGACAAAGGATGAGATGGTTGGATGGCATCACCGACTCAATGGACATGAGTTTGAGTAAACTCTGGGAGTTGTTGAGGGACAGGGAGGCCTGGTGTGCTGCAGTCCATGGGGTCGCAAAGAGTCGGACACGACTGAGCAACTGAACTGAACTGAATTGATAGAAGAAGTTATTAATTCTATCTGGAGGAAATTAAAGTTGCATGATCAGAAAACCTTCCTGGAGGAGGTAATTTCCAGACCAGGTTTTAAAGAATGTATAGGAGTTCCCCAACTGGGCAAGAGGAAAAATTATTATATGTAATAATAAAAGTTACAATAATATAATAGCTATCATTTACTGAGGGCTTAACATGTTAGGCATTGTTCCAAACAAGTTCTGTATCTATTTTATTTAATCCCCACAACAATTCTATGAGGTACTTTCTGCCCCTATTTTACAGATGAGACAACTGAGGCACAGGAAGTAATGATCCAAATGCTGAATAGAGATAAAGAGAATAGCATATGTAAATATAAAATATTTGAGAATCATTGGAGCATAATATGTCAGGAAAAGTGGTAAATGACACCAGAAAGGAAAGCTGAGACTTGATTACAAGGAGCAACTATATGAAACTTGGACTATATATGCTAGGCAGTAGACAGTTTGCCAAGGATTTCAAATACATTAAAGTCAGAATCACTTAACACTATAATGTACAATCAACCAGTATCCCAAAGATAGGAGATTTTACCAATTTTTCCAGCTTAACCTCCTCCCACTATGCCAAAGTGATTCTTCACTCTAACCAAAGCAACCTGTTGACAGTCCTTATCTGCTCTTATGCCTCCATGCCTTTGAATATGCTCTTCCACATATCCTGAATTCATTTCTATTTCACTTACCAAAATAACTTATTCAATCTGTAAAGAATTAGTTCAAATTATATCTCTTCTTCACACAAGGGTTTTTTTTTTTTTTTTTTCTTTAACTTGGCATAGAATTCAGGGATCCAGGAAATTATATTGAATGAAACCACTACATAAAATTCAGCACATCCTTCTATTATGAATGTCTGCCACAAACCACAATAGTACTAGAGGTACCTGTGCCTTTGCAACCAAAAGAAACCAGAGATATTTTTGTTATCACATTACAGCTGCTGCAGATAACTCAAAATATCATTTACGTTCATCACTACCTCAAAACTAGGTTAATATTTATGCCCACTGATAAACTTTGTTCTTTTGTGAGTTAATAAAGAAGCACATATATTACTATATCATACATTTTAAAAAAATATTTTGACAGATATTTCATAACTCTAAATGTCCTTCTTAATCCAAAGTATTTTTACACACTTAAAAACAGTGTTCTGAAAATGGGTGCCTAGGCTTCACCATATTGCCAAAGAGGTCCAGGACACAAAGAGAAGTTGGTAACTCTGTCTTAGGAGTTTCTAATGATACCTACCCTCCCCTCTCCTCCCCTCTCCAACACCATGCCACTCTGAATAGGTGTCCCTTCTTTGCTTTCTTTCAGATTTCCCATTTTAACTTTGCATGCCTCTTTAGTATTCTTGCCCACCTCTTCAACTAGTCCTTTGACCTTTCTCAGTACTGAAACTGTTTATCATTCTTGTATGCACACTGCCTGACAAATAGTGAAATACTGAATGCTTAATATTAATAATGAACAGTGGTTGAATCAATCAGCCAGAACATAAAACCTCAAAGTATATAAAATGTACCAAGAGAACTAAGTGATGAGAGGCTAAATACACTTATTAAATAATCCCAACCTGACTACACTTCGGTTGACTACTAGTTTCTTGGATTCTTATGTAAGGCCCAAGAGTAAATAAATATCACTTTGGATTTTTTTTTTTTTTAACCAAATAACAGTAAATTCAACTGAAACGGTCTTAAAGGGATTTACTGACTTACATAACAAAAAGGTACAGAGATAGGTCTTCAAGAGGTGCCCTTCCAAATTGCATGTCAGTTTCTCGGTGACTCAGGGCACCTTCTCCCTATTAGGAACGTCCTCAAAAGGCCAGCTTCCTCAAGGACCCAAAATGGCTGACAGCAGTAACACTGGCCTCCTGCCTCCTCCTTCCGCTCCGGAAGGAGGGCCCAGGACCACACAACTCTGGTGCTCGGCATTCATTAGATGACCCTGTCCAGTCTTCATGTCTGGGAGAGTGTTGATTGGCTCAGGCCTGTACCAGAACAAAGCCCTGTGGCCAATGGGATTACCCTGATCAGTTTTGCCCAATCAGATTTCATCTCTGAACAGAGTTGGGGTGGGGGGCTGAGCAAGCACTCCAACCGCAAAACTATTTGATAATGAGAATGAGTTAGGAAAGGTGACTGGGGAGACAAATGCAAGGTCAGTCTGGAAAAGTACTACATCCAAAGACTTAAAGTGGGATTTTTTCCGTTGGTGGAGTCTACTATTATATAACTTAACTATTGAATAAAACTAGATTTACTCTAGTTTTACACTTCTTAATTTCCCTCATGATATGGCTAAGAATCTAAATGATGACCAATTTGCTTTGACTAGAAGGAGGAAGTACCTTCTGACAATCGGATTTTTCAACTTTTTCTAATGAAAATTTTATTAAATAGCTTATTGTTCACCAACACCCAACAATAACTGAAGGATTAAGTGTGGTTCTAAGCCGAACCACACTTTTATTTCTGAGTTTTGGGGGGAAATTATGTATCTGTATTAGCTTTAAACAAACATCTGATCTCCATCCTGGTATCTTCATTTAATAAAAGCAGTACTATCAGAGTGTGAATATAGAATATACTGTATAAAATAACCTCGCAAAAAAAAAAAAACCTCACTGTTTTATTTTATTAACACTTCAACAAACCTAAAATTAAGATTGATCTTTACAACTCTTATGCAATCCTCTTTACATTGTATACTAATAAGTTTCTAATGTAAACATTAGAGCAAGTTTAGTCTACATCTTTTTTTTTTCTCCTCTCGAGGTTTGTATTTTATACTCCCACAATAACCTAGAATATGATTTCCCACACTCCTTGTTGGTTTACCTAGGCCTAGGAGAATTTTGCTTGTATAGATGGTATAGCTGCCTAGCTCTTTAGGTTATTGTGTTGATCAGCCCCAACAACACTCCAAACAGTGCACTCACAATCAAAATAACAAACCTTGTAAATCAACACCTTCACACATTTTACATCCATCCCTTTGGGTCTCAGTATTTTTATTTCCTCTAAATTTGCCCACTCCTTTTCTCAGAGACCATGCTGAGCACGTTGATTCCTTCTACTATTTATAGTCAGTGACTATCAGTGATTTAGTCAGATTTCTCTTAGAAATCAGAAGTCTTAGTAATCAGAAAAAAATGAGAGGCAAGGGTTGCCAAGGAAACCAGAGCCAATAGCTGTGGAAGTTCCCAAAGGAAGCAGATCCTCTGAGGCAGGTAAAACACACAGACTTTTTATTGAGGGAGGAGGGGCAGGGAGCGGCAGGGAGGAAAGATGCCAAGACCTTAATGAGAGGACAAGTCAATATGAAATGAAATGGAGAAGATAAAGTGCAACATATGTAAACAAGATTATTTTTAGATCACCAATGTGGGCTTGGAACAAGAGATAGAACAAGGATAAGAATAGGACTTTTAGTAAAAGAAGAGGTGTACACAATAGGTGTATATGTAAGATATTAAATGGAATAGACAGACTAAGGGTGAATGTACTTGTGTGCAGAGTTTTCTAGTCCTGCTTTATTTTAAATTACTTAATTTCCCCAGAATATATCCAAGTACATGTTGTATCAATTAGCCTAAATATTCCTCAAGAGAACATCTAACTCAACATGTCCAATATAGAACTTATCGGTGTCAGCAATGCCACTAGCCAAACCTGTATATCACTTTTATTATCCTCAACTCCTCCCTCTCCGTTACTCACACATTCAGCCAGTCACCAAATCTTCACTTTTCTATCTCCCATATAGCTCTAAAATGGAACTATTTCTCTTGATTTTCCACTGGCCAACTTAGGTTCGGCCATTTTCACTAGAACTTTTCCCAAACTCTTTTGTCTCTGACTCTCAGTTCCTACTCCCGAATGCATACTTATGCAGAATCCGACATCTATTCACCCCTTGGATTGCCAGACTTATCAAATAAAATC